GGGGGCAAACACTTGTTCACACAGGGCTTTGTAGTTTTGGATTTTGTTTTCCCTTAATAATAAAAACCTTCATTTAAAAACTGCATGATGTGTTTACTTGTGTTATCTTTGACTAATATATAAATTTGTTTGACGATCTGAAACATTACAGTGTGACAAACATGCAAAAACACAAGAAATCAGTAAGGGGGCAAACACTTTTTCACACCACTGTACATAGAAGATACATAAGAAAATGATGTGTTGCTTAGAAGTCAGAGCATCCACTATACTTCCATTTTATTAGATGACTTTTGACCATTTCTTTGAATATCCAAATACAACTAAAACCACTTACTTAAAAATATAATACAGGAGTTTGGTTTTAATCAGGTGTTTTTTCCATGTTTCATTACTTAGAGGACTTCATGTTCACAGTGTGTGGATGGATGTGGGTTAACTGTGCAGGTTATGGAGTGTGCTGTAACACAAAGAAAAAGGAAACTACAGAGACCAAAGATGCACCCAACACTGTACATTGTGCTGGCAAATGGCTTTTTTTTAATCTTGTAGAATACAGCAATAAAGTTAAATAATTTGTGTTCTTACATAACTGATCTGACACAAAAGTAGTAAGATCTCAATGTAAAACATTCCTTCACATGCATAGCTATATAAAGTATAGTCATAATGCTTTTATGAAGATCTTGTTTACTGTATGATTGGATGTAAGTAGCAACAATGAAAAGTGCCTCAAGATTGTAATGAAGTGCAGTGCAGTACTTCTGTACATTTGTCATTTTCCACCATTGAATTGAAGATGTAACATATAACGATAAAATTTGTTCATGGTTCTTGTTCTCATGGTGTTATGCTGTCTGTCCTTTATTGCTGCTTGAGGTACTGAAATTTGTTTATCAAGATATGTGTGTGGTGTTTCTCATGGTGTTATATTTGTTCTCCATTGCTGCTGAAACACTGAAATGTCCCCATTGAGGGAACAATAAAGTACCAACCTACAAACAGCAGGTGGCAGCAAAATTCCACTGATTTCCTATCTGCTGGGAATTTATTAAGCGAAGAAGAAGCTGGGCGATAACCTTTGACCTGAAACATGTCAATGACGGGGTGTCTTACTTGTTTACGACAGATGACTTCAACAAGCCTTCACCATAGGTAATGCGCTTCTTCAAATATACGTTTGTAGCAAAGACGTGGGAATTAAAGTAGCGTAAAATTGGTCTGAACGTGCACAGCTAATGAAAATAACTTTTTTGCTGTTATTGAACGTGATGTGCTAATAGCAATCCCTGAGCTCGCATGCTAACTGTGCTAACAGTGACAGCTGAAAACATCGACAGGCGAGCGAATGGTAGCTAAATGAAGTCCGTTTGCACTAACATTGCTAACGCTAGCTACAGGTTGCGGTGTCTTTTTGCAGTTTGTTGCGTCTGTCACTGCTGGTCTTGTGTCGAAATTTGTTCTCCCGCTAGGATGTGTATCCCCTGTTTAGACGGTGTTTCTAGTAGTACCACCCTCTGTGGCTGTGGTTAGGATAAGGGCAGGGTCCAGGTCAGACTAGGAGAAACCCATCTGGACGGGGAAACAGATCTCGACACAACACCGGCTTACACCTCTACTCCCAGTGGTATCGAGTGGAGTAGCATAATTTAATTACATGAAAGTGGACTGTATTTATAGCAGCCGTTTATTCCACCAATATAATTTGTCTGTTAAACATAAAGAAACAGAAATTAGCGTTAACTTAAAATTTTGCACGTCGCTCGCCTTTGTGTAAAACCTATACTGTATGTGACTGTTGTATATGTGCATACTTTGATATAATGCGCAGGCATATTTGTTACAACAATATTTGGTTATAATGATCATGTTAATTTCATCCTAGTCGCTTATTGGTTGCAAAGATGAAACAAACACTGCTTTGTAGTAATGTTAATACTAATGTTCATCTGTTCATCTCTCAGGAAACTGTAATGCCATAGAGGAAGGAGACATTACCACGTCACCCCAGAAATGGCAACTGAACTCCATGAGACTATATTCATGGCCAAGCAGGAACGCCACAAAAACCTGTTTCTTAACTACAAAAACCTGAATATTTTCCCCGTAGAGCTGCTGAAAGATGAAGGCCTGCAGTTCCTGGAGAGACTATACATGAAGAGGAACTCACTCACTACACTGGTATCTGTACAGTACGATTGTCTGTCAAACATCAGTGGCACTTTTTATCTTGTATAAAAATAAATTCCTACCAGAATATGACTGAAGATGATTTCTTAAATGTTCACAGGTCTGTAGTTCTACGAGGCCTGCAGTAGTGTACAGGCAGTTTCACCAGTTTATTTCCTGTTAGATTAACCAATTGTTTCTGCTTTTTTCTCTCTCTATCAGCCTGACAATCTTGCTCAGAAACTCCCAAATCTAATTGAACTGTGAGTATTCAGTTAAGCTGTGCATTTGTACAAAAAGATCTTAAATATTTAAAATTATGGAGTCACTGAACAGTAAAGAGTTCCACATTCCATGACTCTAGTTTGTTTCGTGCTAGTTTTAGCAGTCCGCCAGATGCTGTTTGTGAAAATGTGTAAAATCTTTGACATTTAAATAGATAGATAATCAATCCTTTATTGTCATTGTAACACATACAATGAAATTTTAGGGTGCAGTTTGGCTGTGTCTGGTTGTTGCCCCTCAAAGCAGGCAAAAAAAGAGGTTCAGCTCCTCTGCTAGCAAGGCGTCCCCTTTAGCCGCACTGAGATTATTCCTGTGGTTGGTAAAATGGACTCCCTGCCACAGCTGCCTGCTGTTGTTGCTGACCAGATGGTCTTTGATACTCCTCCTGTGGTCCAATTTGGCCTTTCTGATAGCTCTCTTCAGGTTAGCTCGGGCCGCGTTGTAGAGAGCCCCGTCGCCTGTCCTGAAGGCAGTGTTCCTCTCTCTCAGTAGCCACTTGACCTCCCAGTTCATCCAGGGCTTCTGAGTGGGGTAGGCCCTGATGCGTTGTCCATGGTAACAGTGTCTATGCAGTTCTTAATATAACACAGGACACTGTCTGTGAACACCTCTGGGTCTGGATGTTCAAAAACATCCCAGTTGGTCCTATCAAAACAGTTCTATAGCTGCTGAGAGGCATCATCAGGCTAAGTTTTTACAGTCCTTGTGATGGTAGGAGCAGTTTTCCTGAGGGGGGGCATATGCAGGAATTAGAAATGGGGACAACTGAATGTTAATTGTAACTGAGAGACTGTTACACTTGGATGTATACCTACACCGCCGACAACAGAATGTCACTGACATGAAAAGAAAGGGCCTCACTGTTTTATTGTTTTACAACACTAACCAATGACATATCAAATATTTTGGTCCATTCAAATAGTAACATTTGTTTGTTTGTTTTCCTTTAAAGGTATTTGCACTCAAACAACATAGTCATTATTCCTGAAGGTAAGTCCCCCTTTATGTCATAATACCATGACCGTGTCTGCACTTATTTTCCTGTGTCACATACATTAGTTTTCACTTGACAGCATTCAATCAGTTGCTGTCCACTTTGACAAAGTCTTTTTGGTTAAAGACCTAGTCGCCTGTGTTGGACAGTTTGTTGTTTATACAGTATTAAAATATACATACATATATTAGTGAACACTGGTTACTTTCATTTTAGTGAACAATATGAAAGATGCCAAGAAATAGTATATTCAAGTGAGATTCAAAAGAGACAGCTAAAAATTTCTATAAATTTTAGGAAGAAAGTAAACAAGTACACAGACAACCACTTTAAAAATGCATTTGTGGTGCTGTAGAAGAAATATGTAAGACACATTATGAATACTGAGATAAATAACATGATATTAAAGGTACATTATTAAGACCCTCAATAAGTCAAAATACATAACAAATGTATGAAGCCAACCTGAAGATCATTTTTTAACTGGACCAATTCTGTGAGGGTCAAACAAGCTAGGAGAAGTTAGTCTGCTGAACATAACAAAGATGACTGTGGTTTGATCCTCAGCTATTGGAAACCTGGCCAGGCTCCAGTCATTGGACCTGAGCAGCAATGTCCTCCAGCTCCTCTGTCCAGACATTGGACGACTGAGGTCCCTGCGGCACCTAAGACTGTCCAATAACCAGCTGAAATCCCTTCCACCAGGTAAAATACAACAGCTCTGATTTAATCAGATTTAATTAGGCTGACTCGTCACTGTCTCGGATGAGACCAATGACCATTGTATCATCAGCAAACTTTGAGCTTGACAGAGGGGTACTTCGAGATGCAGTTGTTGGTGTAGAATGAAAACAGCAGAGGGGAGAGCACACATCACTGGGGGGCACCTGTGCTTATTGTTCGGGTGCTGGATATGGTTTTCCCCAGCCTCACCCACTGCTCCCTGTCTGTCAGAAAGCTTGTAATGGTTTTCCCCAGCCTCACCTGCTGCTTCCTGTCTGTCAGAAAGCTAGTAATCCACTGACAGGTGGGGGCAGGCACAGTGAGCTGGGTCAGTTTGGAGTGGAGGATGTCCAGGATGAAGGTGTTGAACGCTGAGCTGAAGTCCACAAAGAGGGCCTGTGCATAGGTACCTGGAGAGTCGAGGTGTTGCAGAATGTAATGCAGTGTAAGAAGTTATAGGTCATCCAGGCCTCTGTCTTTAAGACATGCTTGAAGTTTGACCAGGTGATCTGATTCATCTGGCTTCATAGATAAGTATAACTGGGTATCATCTGGAAATTTATGCTGTGCTTCCTGATAATATTGCGTATAGGGAGCATGTATAAAGTGAAGAGAACTGGACCTAATACAGAGCCCTGTGGAACGCCGTGGCTAACTTTAGTTTGTGTGGAAGATTCATTATTAACATGAACAAATTGAAATCTTTCTGATAAGATTTGAACCTATTTAGTGCAGTTCCTTTAATCCCAATAACGTGTTCAAGTCTCTGCAGTAAGATGCTGTGATCAGTGGTGTCAAAAGCAGCACTGAGATCAAAGAGGACAAGTATGGAGACAAGTCCTTTGTCTGAGGCTAGGAGAAGATCATTGGTGACTTTCACCAATGCGGTTTCTGTACTATGATGGACTCTAAATCCTGACTGAAAATCCTCAAACAAATCATTCTTGTGCAAGTGGTCACATAACTGCTTGGCAACAGCTTTTTCCAGAATTTTAGAAATAAATGGGAGATTGGATATTGGTCTATAATTAGCTAGGACACCTGGGTCAAGAGTAGGCTTTTTGAGTAGAGGTTTAATTACTGCAAGTTTAAAAGCCTGTGGAACATAACCTGTTAATAGAAAGAGGTTAATCAGATCTAATATGGATGTGTTGATTAGGGGAAAGACGTCTCTGAGGAGCCTGGTCGGGATGGAGTCCAGGAGACGTGGAATATGTTTTGAATAAGCGTGTGTCATTGGGACTGAAAATGTTGGCTCATACATAAAAGCATCAAGAAGAAGAACCAGCACGTTTAAACCTGAGTACCATAAAATACCCACGTACGACCAGAAAAAAATACAATAAAAGAGGACATCAGCTGTATTCATACTTTATGCATGGCTTAAATTCATTACATGCTTAATTTTTTTTTTTTTTTTTTTTTTTTTTTTTTTTTTTTACTTGTAACAATCCCTTTGGCAAAGACATGTTTGCCAGGCTTGCCAATGAGCTTTAACTTTCAGGTGAAACTACCGTCTTTGGTTGAGTTGTAGATATTTTTTACCAACAGAGGGAGACAGAGACACAGACAACTGAAAAGAGGAGCTGGGATACAGCTGTCTGTACTCTAAATCAATACTCTCCCATCGTATTTTAAAAATGCAGTTGAGGAGTGAGGAGCAAGAAGGGGGCAGGCATGGCCTCATCGCTATGTAAGGTGTGATGTGGAGGGTCAGAGGATGCAGACTGCTCACACAGTAGCATGGACAGAGAAGCTTCTTTCAAAATGTCTTTTCTGCTGGAGAAACATTCTGGTGGAGCTCTGACGGTTACTTTAAGCATGTTTATGTCCTTTTGAGAGTCGCTGTACAGATACCTGCTTTTTAGCTGAGCCAGTAGGCTATTAGGCTAATGTAGTTAGGTGTAGCAGGCTAACACTAACAGTTACAACTTCAGCAATATTATTTACCTACTCTCGTTTACAGCAGCCTAATTTTGGCAATATTCATCACTTGACCACAGTCCTGACTGTACCGTGAGGAAGTGTTTATGCACATTTATAACAAAATACTGAATTCAAATACTTTGCAGTAAAACGTCAAGATTTGGACCTGAATCAATCAACACTAGTAAATACCTGTATACATTGCTTTTTAGCTGAAAAAAATGGTTTGTAGTTACTCTAAAAACACTGTCTGATAACAGAAGGTCACAGATGTGATCAGGTCAACAGACTGCTTGACTTAATTTGTTTTCAAATGACCTCAGAGTGACTGAATATGTTTACTCCTTGTACAGCCCCACCTTCAACACAGTTGTTCCCCACAAACTCACCCACAAACTGTCCACACTAGGTTTGCACCCCACCCTCTGTGACTGGCTCCTGGACTTTCTGACTGGCAGGCCCCAGACTGTTAGTATTGGCAATAGAACTTCAGCCAGCAACAAACACTGGCACCCCACAGGGATGTGTCCTCAGTCCCATCCTCTACACCCTGTTCACCCACGGCTGTGTTGCCCCCCATAAAGACAACATCATCCTGAAGTTTGCGGACAACACCGCAGTGATAGGTCGCATCACTGGCGGGGACGAAGCAGCCTACAGGAGGGAG